GAAGACGAAGAAGACGGGCTTGGTGTTGTCGCCGCCGATGGTGGCGTGCACGTGGGATTGGAAGCCCTGGAGGATTTCAGGGTGGAGCTTGACGTTTCCTGGCTGGTTTACGTGGTTCGTGAGCAGATGGGTGCCACGGCTTTCAAAGGGAAAGTTACCTTGTAAACACCGTGCACGTTTCCGAAGGCAGCGGCAATAGTGAAGCGGTGAGACACCTCCGACAGCTCCTTGTAAGCGTAGAGAATGTCGGAAGGCTGACTGTAGAGGGAAGCATTGTCTACTCCGGAATTGTCCACACCGTCCTCTTCTCCACCCGTGATACCGAGCTCAATCTCGAGCACCAAGTTGGACTTCGCCATGCGCTGGAGATAAGTTTTGGAAATGCGCACATTTTCCTCGAGTGACTCCTCGGAGAGATCCAACATGTGGGAGGAGAAGAGGGGCTCGCCGTGCTTGGCAAAGTACTCCTCGTCGGCATCGAGCATGCCGTCGAACCAGCCGAGGAGCTTCTTGGCGCAGTGATCGCTGTGGAGGATCACGGGCACGCCGTAGTGCTTGGCCATGAGGCGGACGTGATGCGCGCCGGCGATGGCACCGGCAATCGAGGCAAAGTCGTTCTTGTTGGAGATCTAATGCACGGTTAAATGGGGGCCAGAGAGTGGGGTGTAGGAAGGGTACGAACCCCCTTTCCAGCGTAGAAGGCGGATCCGCCGTGGCTGAACTGGATCACGACGGGAGACTTGACCTCGCGCGCGGCTTCGAGCACGGACTGGTTTGAGGGCACCTGCTGTTAGAGCGACGGACCCTGAGCGGGCGAAGGGGCAACACGCACGTTGATTGTGGAGGAGGAGGTGCAGTTGACGGCGGGGATCGCATAGCTGTTCTCCTGCGCGTGCTTGTAGACCTTGATGACGTCGTCGCCGGTCACAACTCCGGCCTTCACGATGCTGAGGATCCCTGTTTCTGGCATCTTTTTTTGGGGTGTTCAGGATCATTTTCTGGCGCAGTGTCTTATCGACAGACTCTGAGTGTGCGATAATCTGAGTCACCGTCATTTAATTATTCCCGTTCATGGCGCATCGCCTCGGCAAAGTTGCCTGGAAAGAGACCCCGTCGCAGCCTCCCGTCCGTCGCCACCACAATACCCTCCAGCCACCTGGCGAACACAAGGACAATGAGTCTTAGCAAGGACAAAGCGGATCAATTTTTGCATGGCATGGATGTGCTGTATCACGCGACCGGAACGCAAGGAACAGCAACTGGCACGGCGAGGGGGCCCAGAGACAATGAGAGGAAAAACTCACCCATCATCTTGCTCTGCAATTACCGGAATCTCTTGTCCTCTCGCGATTGTAAGCTCCTCGAATGCTTGCGCTGCGTAAGGAAACAGCACGCGTGCTGTAGAAGGACTTCGTTAAGCATCAAAAATAATACAAACCAATTAAGGAGGCTCGCCAAACCTCGAAACAGCACTTCCGTCTCCTCGGGCACTTCAAATGGATCGTATTCAATGACATCCTCATTTCCGTCCAAGACGGACCCATCCCGAAATTCATCCACTGCCACAAATGGGTTCGGACACACCCCG